GTATGTATGAAGATACAAACCTAGTCAAGTTAATTAAGTAATGAATAAGTAAATTTTATTCATTTCGATTAGGTAAAAACTAAAATCCTTCAGCCAAAGTCCCTCTATTTTTTAGTCGATCATTACAACCCTTACGATGCCCTTGGCACATAAATAACTATATTTCGAGTTCCTCGAACGTCATTTTGTTAAGAGTTTTCTCTGAGAAAGATGAAGTGTTAATGGTATAAAAGTGGCAATATTTCAAAATTGTATAAATAGTGTCTTGAAATGTTTCAATTTATATTTTGTTTGAAGAATGAGAATATATAGAGAGGTATGAAAGAATATATAGTAGTTTATCAAGACTAACTGCGCGCTTTTTCTTGACCACATAGACCGCAGCGAGCGGTATTGGGAGTTGAGGTTTCAACATTCAATACTGATGACCAACTTACAATGAACAATCACCATGACCTGCTTTGAAAAACTAGTATCTAAAGAATATTTTGTTGTTTGAACCAATATAAAAAGTTGGTAGAGTCGAATTTAATAATAATATTCCATTAAAGCTCCCGCAGCCATGCGGAATGGCCGCAGCGGAAATTTCGCGTTACGTGTTGCCTCATGAGCACGTTCAGACATTCGCCATGCAGGCGAGCGTCGCGGCAGCGGATTTGCAGCGTTTAATACGCGGCGGATTTTTTAAAGCAGTCAGTCTCTTTTTTTTCCGTTGCCGCTCGAGTTTCGTGGAAGTCTGCCCGCCTTGTCTTCGCGCAGAACTCAGCAGCTCGAGTTCCGCTGTGGAAACCAAGGCAAAGACTCGACCGACGTCGAATATTTTCAGCTCGCCAGGAAATCTGACACTATTGAACGGCCAGAAAAAATACTTCTAATCTGGCTCAGTAATGTAATTAATTTTAAATAACATTAAATTTCGATATTTAATTTTTTGTCCTCAAATTTTTATTTTAGTTATCTCAGTAATGTCATTGAAAGTCTCTGGTTTTTCTAGTAAATTTAAAAGCGTTTCTCGTCGTTTGTGGCATCAACATATGCAATTCTCCGTACTTTTCCCTCTTTAGGTCAAAACCCCCTTTCTTCGTTTCCCAACGAGATGTTAACAATTTGAGGGAAAAGTTAAGATAAAGAAGGTAAAAAGCACGGCACCGCATGTGCTCAGAAAACGTACTAGGAGTATTGGTATTTTCTATCTCGTGCATGAATAGAAGCAAGCGCGGATGAAAACTGTCATCAAACGCTGAGTCATAATTGACGGTCCGGTGTGAACGGTCCCGCGGATTTCGTCGGCGCGCCTAGCGCGGAACTTTCCGCGCCGCACCCGCTGCGCATGTTGGGAGCTGTTAATCCGGTCTGTGGTGGGCTCAAATTTGAAAATGAAAGTGTGTCGTAGTACTCAAATTTGAAAATGAAAGTGTGTCGTAGTACTCGAAAAATCTATCTATCTATCTATCTATCTATCTATCTATCTATCTATCTATCTATCTATCTATCTATCATCTATCTATCTATCTATCTATCTATCTATCTATCTATCTCATCTATTTAGCGGTTTTTTACAGCCTTGGACCTTTTTTCCGCATCTCAATTTCCAAGCTGCTTTATCCATAGTCGTTTTCATCTATTTCTCTTTTTTCCCATGGCTTCAGTTATTCGCCATGTTCATGTTCTTCTCGCTTTCCCTCATCTTCTTCCGATTTGTCATCCACTCCCAAACTTTTTGTGAAGTCTGTCCGATTTCACCTTCTCAACATGTCCGTACCATTTTTTAAGTTGTTTCATTTCGATCGTCTCGTTCAGGTTCGTTTGCATCTTTCACTTTTATTTCTTTTATCTTCATCATTTAATTTTATCTAACAGAGAAAGTTTTACATCTTCGCCAAAAACATAACTTATTTTGGATTGAGTTGTCTTATCAATTTTTTTTGTTAGTGTCCAGACTTCTGGCCCCAATAGTGTTGGTACTCGCGCATTCGAGTTCCATAGCAGCTGGATTCAATTGTCCTTGTGGGCTATTTTTTCCTCTTATATTTTTATTTTTGCCACATCCTGTTCGTCTCTAACATCTGCTGTTAGGTTTATCCCAGAAATACCCTTATATTGTGTATTACCTTTAATTATTCCTTATACTACCTTTTTTAAATCATGGGGCATACCTCCCACCATCATATATTCAGTTTTTTGTACATTTATTTCCATTCCCTAGAAGGACTCTCTCTAACATAAAGTAGATCAATTTTAATTTCCTATTATTCGGTGAACTTTCGATCGGATTCCTCAAGTGGACGAAGTGATCGCTTGCACATTAGTTGCATATTTTTTGGGTTTAGCGTGCTCATTTCCATTACATTTTGTGGAACTGACAAATTTAATTTTCTCTTTTGTTTGCTTGAGCGAGGAGTCATTTCATTTAGCAAGGATGAAATGTACTTCCGTTCAAAATACATTGTCATAATATAATATCTCTCCCGTTTTGCTGTTACAAAAGATCAAGATAGAAGCCTGGAACTCGTGTAATTTCAGAAAGTAGTTTCAATAATTTCAGAAAGCCCATTGTGAAACGTATGTGAAGGCTTTTCGTAGAGTAATTGAGTAACTGTCAACTTCTCCTTCCATTAGGTTTATGTTTCTCCTTCCATTATCCTTAAGTTTCAAAACAAATATTGAATTTGCCTTAAAGTAATTACCGCCTTAGGAGGCTCAGAGCATGAACTAATGTCACTGCAGTGCTTCAGTCCTAGGGTTCATGTCCCGACCGTGGCAGGGTTTCCAACACTAGCTACGTAGGTGTCGCTCTGTGGAGGAGAATCGTAGCGGTCGGCTGTCCTGTTCGGTAGTTTTCCGTGGTTTCCCCGATTAAAATCAGGGGAATGTCGGAGTAGTATCGTAACAAACAGGCAACTAACCACGCGCGATCTTTCCTTCCTTTTTTCCGTGCCTTCACTCCTTAGGTGTACACATTACACTTACAGGCACTACACTTCCACACACATGTCCAGAGACCAGTCAGACTTCCCTAATAATTGGATCCCCTCGTCAAGAATTGTGTGTCCTTCGTCATTGACACTCTTAATTTTAGTTATCCCTGTATGTATGCAGAAAACATGATTACTCCATTAACAATATTTGTACTTGTATATTGTTTTATGTAATTTATATTTTGTCAGTGTACACAAACTTTTATCAAAGTGCTCTATCATTGCCACATGAACTATGAATTTTCAGTTTACGTACCCGAGGTAATCTCTGACCCAATGAACTCTGAAACTCTCATGTATATACAAAATAAGATAAGGTAAAATATTCATGATTTTTGCCGAAAGTATGCAAATTCACATTGTTGATCAATTTTGAACAAAAATTAAATTACTTCCGTCTACTAAACCTATCATAAAACCATTTTTATAAGGGAGATATCTAAGAACGGGCTTTGTGGTGAATAAAAACGAGAAATTTTCAAGCCTATAACTTTAAAAGGGTTACTTTTACAACAAAACAGTATCTGAAGTTTTTGTAGGAAATTTTAACTACTTCAATTTTATAAAGAGCTTACGTTTTGTTGGATTACTAGTTATGGAGATATATACAAACCAGTGGTGCTCAACAGCACATACGTTCTCGCGTTATTGGAAACAGCTATGTAATACTGAAGTATTGCATTTTCTGGGCTATTAACACCTCAGCCAATAATTGAAACGTCCAATTCAAAAACAAAGCGCCTGTGATGCATATCTGCATTCATTTCGATAGTCAGGAGCAGCAATAATTTCTAACTTTGAAGAAACGAACAGGAATACATTTGACAGATACAGTATTCGCAGCGAATTATGCTGGTGAGAACAACGCACTGTTGCTAGCGCAACGTTGTCAAAACTATGTGCATTCGCTTGGCGAATAATAACCACTCTCTCGAAAAACGATAATCGCTAATAATGACGTAATTTCATTTCTTTTTTTAACATCTAGAATTATTAAAATGTAGCGGAAGCAGAATATGTGTAAAATTAAATTGATCTTTTGATATTTTGCGCAGTTATAACGAACGGACCTAAGTCTTTCTGTAGAACGCTTCTTAACATTAGAATGTTTTCCCACTCACAGTACCGGACCTAGTTGATGTAACGCAATCGCACGTTACAGGGCCTGGCCGTTTGAAGTTGGGTTCCGGTGTGGATCGATTACAATTCCGTCTTAATACAATGATCTACCAAGTGCGGAATGTTCTCTCGAGTCCAACAAATTATTTTTATTTAAAGTCTAAGGTTAAACGATCCCTAAGGTTAAGTCTAAGGTTTCTTAAATGGTATTAATGACAAACATTGGAGATCCGGGATGAAGCTGAAAAACTAAAAGTTCTCCAATGCAGTACATAGCTTTTTGACTCGAAATAGGATAACTGAAATAAAGATAAAATCAATTTGTGAGTCGAGTGCTTGCGCAAACCATAATTACCCATTGTTTAAGGTTTATAGCGGGATGGTCCCTTGTTTGTATTTCCAAAAGTAAATCTAAATTTATCATTTAGTGTTAGTAAGTTAATGTTAGTACCTTAAGATTAGTACGTACGTATAAATGGTAGTATAAACTTAAGTATGTCAATGTTATTTGATCAATGGTGGTATGTCAATGCTAAAGTCGATAATGTTATTGTGACAATGTTTGTATGTCAGTGTTATTATGCCTATTTTATTACGTCAATATTCAGTATATTAATGTCAGTATGATAACATTAGAATGTTAACATTAGTTTGAGAATGTTAGTTAGTAGGTTAATGCTAGATAATATTATTATCCATGTTAAAATTAGCTTGGAAATAAAGTCGTGGAAGAGCAAACTTTATGGTGCGCGTCTCGCCTCATAATAAAGGAATTTTAATATATCTAGTTTGAAGTTTTATTATTATTATTATTATTATTATTATTATTATTATTATTATTATTATTATGATTATTATTATGATTATAATTATGATTATTATTAATATTATATTTCTTCGTAGGTTGGGGACTTCGGTCCTGCCGAGAAGCTGTGGCCATGTGGCTATCGTTTGTAGTCTTCATTTGTGTGTTGTGGCCAACGGGGAGTGACGATGCGGCGAAAACAAAAGTTAAATTTCGTAAGTACGATAAATATCTTTCTCAGGCTTGGATTGCATGTAGTAAAGTGCGATTTTTGTGATAAATGCATTTCTTTTTTCCCTAGTAATAGTTAAGGAAAGTGAGCCATCCCCCGTTCCTGGCAATCTTACAAAAACATTTAGAGATTTGGAGATGAAATACCCAGATCTTACTTTGGATGATATAGTGTTTGATGTTGTGAGAGAACGAGAAGATGAAAGTTTTGAATTCGGTAAGTGTTTCAATGATTTTTAACGATTATAATGGTAATTTTGCATGGCTACCGACGGAATGGATCTGTTAAACAAAAAAGAATTGAGTTCTCAGCAAGAATGTTTTACTATTATAATTTGAGTTCATTCGAATTAATATTATCTATTAATAATTATTAAATATCATTAACGTTTTTGAAGGACTCTACACAAAGTTGAAACTTTTTGTTATTTCGCATAAATCGTTTTATAATTTTGTCTAGCTTGGTCGAACATATATACTATAAAACTAGGTACGCACCCCAGGCTTGCCTATTAAATGCAGAGACACATTAGGATGTACTATGTTTACTTCAAGTAAATGCTACTTCCAGTGTACGTCCGTTCGTCCGCTCATTATTTACTGTTAAACCTCTTGCCGTCCACCATCTCAGGTCAACGATGTCATTTGACGCTAAAAGATTTAAAACGAATTGATGTGGATACATTTTATTGTAATTTTGTGTGTCACAGAATGGACGAGCCAGCCAATTATATTGTGTTTAAAAAGCTTTTTTTATTATGATTGAGCATACCACAAATCAATTTTTATCACGAAAGTGGCGCGGAAGTAACGCAAAAGTGGCAATTATTTATATGAAAGTCCGCCTAAGGGGCCGTGCTACGCTAGTAGAATAAGAGTACAAATTTTTCCGAAAACTAGTAACGATTGGAGCAAAAGTCTGTGCTCATGGCAAAATGCAAGCTTTGTACCTGTACTTAATGTATGACTTGTATTCCTAGTGCGAAACGACAGGTCTTTATCGATTAACCATCAGGACTTAACAGCAGGCACCTGACTTACTTCCCAAGCAATTTCAATTCATTTAAGGATGAGTGTTTCATGTATATTTTGTAAGCTTCGGCTTATGTATTCCTTAACATGCAAAACTTACTCTTGGGTTGTGGTTGTAACGTTTGTGCTCCTTCTGAATAATTTGTGCGATTTACGAAAACATTGTTTCCATTCCAAATTCATATTTTCATTTCACAAGGTTTATATTGTGAATGAATTTTTCGTAGACACATGTAGAACCCGTAAATCATTGCATTCCTTATTTCTATTAATTGAATATCTGATCTAACAATACGTTATGTATGAAGAAATTAACATTATTACTCCTAAAACATGTTTTATTATTTCTCAAACCCGAAAAAAAGCAGTGTCCATAAATCTTGTGGTATGTGTATGACAAACAATTTCATTCCCAATTTACTCTTATTAATGAATAATATAAATGTTTAAATATTTAATTTTGATAACTCTCTCCCAAGGAATATAGACAACTAAAAATTGAAATTGATCACTCATTCTCATCGACACGTCACACTTTAGTGTCAGAATAACGTACGAAAGTTTTGAACCGTTACCCGTCTCTTGAATCTATATATTACTTGCAATCGTGGCAAGACATTAGTGTTCCGTAAGTCTCTCGAATAGCCGCTTTCCAAACTGAATCTTCAAAACAGGAAAAAATTAGAAAGCAGCAGACCCAACCTGCCTCTCCTCGCTCTTTGATACCCCTGACAACTACATTTATCGCATGGGTGCCGAGGCAACAAAAAATAATTTTCCCATTAACAACAACAAAAAACATTATTTCAGAAAAAGGTTTTGAATTATTTTATAAATGTTCCATAAACTTTATTCTTAGTTATCGCCCTCGCGGTTTATTTCATTGGTCAGCGTACTCACTTTCCATGACGCAGCCCGGGGTTCGATTTCCGGTCGGGCAAGATTATAGAGTGCCTTTTCCTTGCAATGCCTCAGTACACGGCGTACGTTGCTGTGTGACGATGAGAAAACTCACTTCTCAGATTGAGAAGATCAGAATGCTGCCTAGGGATGTCTTCGTGCTAACCGCACGTTCCCCTGAAACCCATGGCCGCGAGGACGGGACACTGCTGGTAGGCCCTGACCCGTTCGGGGACTGGCGCGCCAAGTACAGACAGACTTACAGTTATCACGCAATAACTTCTCTCAGGAGTTCCTTTAGGTTCTCTTTTTACCTTGTAAAGTATAAATTACGCTGCAGACAAGAAGCCTCCGTTGTCGCTTTTCGCTACGCATTGCATCGTGGAGGACGACACTATTATATGCCATTCAAGAAAGAAAGACTGAAGCTTCGAGTAATCGTATTGACTGGTCGTACATATTTAAGATTCGAAAGGGATATTGATTTCCTTTCCTGGCCTGAAGGTATAAGAAGTCTTCTCATAGATGAAATCACGTTCGATGAGAGGCTGTTATTTAATCGAGTGTAATTAAGCAGTTTGCAATAGTCATGCCAGAAACAGATGTGAGGGTTGAAAATGGAATCGATGATAATTATGTAATATATATTTATTTGCGAAATATATAAGATATCGATGTCATGCAATGTCCGAACTGTAAGATGTGAAAATAAGGAGCAGTAAACAAATTCAGCACGTTCTGGATCTTTAAGTCAAATTATATGTTTATAAATTATGTTCTTTAGCAATCTTCCCGCTCCGCTGCAACCTTCCCGTGCATATTCCTTTTTGTTCTCCACACATTTATTTTTCATATGTGGTCATCGTACGTGTTCTTGTCATCGTTCTCTAGAACAATGGCCCTGTGTTCGGTCGGAGGGGAGGGGCTCAGACAGGCCCCTGCTGTCGCGGTTAAAGCAGTGTCTACGTGTGTGTGCATGTCTGTTGAGCACGAATGCTCTATGGAAAGAAATACCGAACTTTCTTTGTAAGGAAACAGTTTGATTTAATAATTAATAACTAAATCGGTATCAAGGTTCCACAAAATACGGTTTCTTACTTTATATTAACATTAATATACATTATTATATTCCTTTTATTATACTGTCTTGAATTAAGACTGTGGATTCTAAAAAGCAAGTGATTTAGGGAAGGTGAATAGATTCTACAAATTTAAACATGGTGAAACTGAATGGCACGACTTTGTTTTCCTACCATTTAGTTTTCTAATATCATTAATCTGGGCTTGCGTTTCGGTATAGTCCCAAAGTCTTCCCAGCTGCTACCTGTCAGTTCCAAAATCGCTTTTTCTCCCGTTTTCTCAATACTTTGGTCCCGTAATAGAAGAAGTCAAATATGTCTTTAAGAAAATAACAGAAGAGTAAAACATAGTCTATCGAATTTTAATTGAAAAAATTGAAGACGTTGTTAAGGAAATATCGTCTTCAGAAAATACGCAATTTTGAGCTCATTTTTACAGCAAACTTCTGAGTTTTCGTGAAAATGTATAATAAATTATTTTAAGTCATTTTACTCACAAATACAATTATGTTTACAAATTACTGGTAATGTAAATATTAAAGATGTAAGAAGTACGTAAAAAGGGTAGTTTTTGAAAAATCAAAAGGAAGTGCATCAAACTTGCATATAATTTCATCATGAAATTAATTGTATTTAGCACCTTGCGTACATCAAGTTTAAACGAGAATTTTAGAGACGGTTGTTGAAAAAAATGTCGTTGAACATGCACAATTTTACTTCATTTTCACTGAAAACATTTGAGTTTTCCAGAAAATTCACAAGAAATCATTAGAAGCACTTGTTCTCACAAATTCGGTAAAGCATAGAAAGGCCCTTAACCTAAATATTAACCACGTAATTGATTTATAAATCAATTATATTTGTTTTTATGAAAGATCTAAAAAATACACGATGATGGCGTGTGTGTGATGTTATTCAGTGCATAGAGCACTATCGTTTCCCAAATTTTAAAGAATAAAATTTAGAGATATTTTTGAGAACCTCTCGCTTTTAAAATTTCTTTTCTTTCATACACAATTATTCAAAACTATTCGTGAATTGAAAACAAGTATATGTAACCTTATATTAATATATAATATTGAAGAACATATTTTATTCATAAGAATATTCTCTATTCTCTTCAATATTGTAGTTGGATAACGCCGAAAAGAAATGGGAACTTTTAATTTCTTCGAAAATGTAGAGATTTCAACGAAATTGAGGCCTTAACCATTCTCTTAAACGTCCTTCACACTATCCAACCACGAAGTTTAATCAAAACATTTGAACTCATTTTTTTGAAACTTTTTGAAATGTCCCAGGGGATTCGCGTAAAGAATCCCCCAAAATTAAAATATCGGTTTCACATTCAAGGCCAGATCGATAGGGAAATATCAGTTTTGGTGAAAATCCTACCTATGGTGTAGACTTTAGCGTTGATCACTGACGGATACGCTGGTTGATGATGTGCCCTCAATAGATTTTTCGGTACGAAAGACACAAAACATGGATTCTGACTACACGAGTTAGAGGAAGTAATTTACTGTATATAGAGACAAGTCCTTTTTTTGGTTACAAGGACCCGGTTATAAAATGTTCTGTCAAAAATTCGCCATTGTTACTCGCAGCATTACAATACATACTTTCTCTATATTGCTTAAGCAGTCGCGAGAAAGTAAAAATTTCAACCACTTTTGAGGAAATTGTTCTTAACATTGCCTGTATCTCACTACAAATTGCGCGAAAGCTACTTATATTTTCAAAAACATGTACTTGACATTAATTAAAGAATTAATAGTTGAAAACATTCCGTTTCAAGATAGTCTCTATCTACAATGATATCCGTGGATCAAAAAATGTCAAATTGTGCAATTTTCAAAAATTCAGAATTAACGGTGAAAATCGTACCTATGCCATGTATAAGAGTGTGTTTCACTCTACACTGACAAGAAATTTGAAGGGAAAAAAATTGAAGCTGATTTTAAGAAACTCCTTGAAAATCCCCAATGGATCTCATATGAAGTATCCACCAAAAAATTAAAGAACCGTTTTAATAGTCGCAGGGCTTTGAGTAGTGACAGAACCATCGGACAAATCTCATTTTGGAATAAATCCTACGAATAGTTAGGCTTGTGTTGTGTATTGGCGCACCACCCTTGTTAATTTCCTAATCTCTTTAGTCTAAGTTACTTTTCAGTTTCTCCACTCCTCTGCCCACCAGCTGCCTATAGGACTCTAAAATATGTTCTTTTCACATTTTCTCTATTTTTTGTACCATAATAGTGCATTTTAAATGTGACTTTACGAAAATTATAGAAGAGGTTAACGTGGTACTACACGCACATTGTTATTGGAAAATTAGCAATGTTTTTTTGTGAAAATTGCGTTTCAGTATTAAATAAAAGGAATAATAAAAAGAATGTAAAAATCGATATTAATGGTAATATAATGTAAGAAAAGTAATTATTATATCGAACTGTTTCCTTGCAAAGAAATTTTAGTATTTCTTTCCATAGAGCATTTATGATTTTTCTAGAAACCCCTGCAAGATATATTAAGGGTTCCGCGGAATCACATGGAAAAAACGGATACATCTATTATCCTTTATGACAATGTGAGCGTCAGCGCCTCAGCAAACCAAAGGACATGGTAGTCGGAAATCGATGAACCCCACACACCAGAGTTCGATATTTCCTCTTTACGCTGCAAAAAACGGAACGGTCACTATAATGATGTGAGTATGCTTCTATACTACAGACACTGCGATAAAAAGTGACATTTAAACAAAGAAATGAGATGACAGGTAGATGTCCCAGAAAGTCTCAGATAACCTATAATGAGGGTTTATTTCCTTATTTACATTTCGTTTGTAAGTTTGCACCTCAAACATTCTGATTAAATGCTGAAACATTGATAAGGTTTTACACAAGTTGTGATTTAAACCTCCAATAATATAAAGTCGTGTTGGAGGGCCCACAAATAATATCTTCTGTTCATAATACGCCAAGACAAGATGATAAGTTTTGATAATTCACAAGAAACCATCGACGCAAAACCCCGGAAATGTATTACTCCTAGAAAGATAATTACCCCTCTGTCCTATAACAAAGATGTTTAAGACGAAAAAAGTACAAGTTTCAAGGATAATGTGCACGCGTAACCCGCAACACATATTTCCATTATACCATAGTGCATAATTCGAAAACGATGCGTGCCTTGGCCCTTGACAATACATTTTCGTGGCTACCCAAAGACCCGATTTTTTTTTCTTTTTGTAATGTAGTCTACAACATGAGACCTTTTTGGGCGCTCTATTATTCGCTTTTAGAAGGTTTCTTCACCCCGTAAAATGATTTGACAGAAACGTTGGAAATTTTATTCATTTTTTAATTTATTCAACGTCAAAAACAGTTAAAACCTGTTTTGGAAGTGCTACAAAGAGCCTTTGTTTTTCAGTGTAAAGTTTTTTTTTTTCATTTTAAACCAATAATTTTAAAAGATATACTTTTTGGAGGTTTCAAGTTTTCATAAAAACTCTTTGGGATCCTTCTATTGAATTTTTTTGGGGGTTTTCTGCTCATCTTGGTACTCCAGCTCTTTAGAACTTTCCATTCATACAGAGGAGCCATTGCACTATGATTACATTGATTCTGTTGCAGTAACGCTTATAAAATTATTTAGTAATAAAACACCTCAATTAAATATTTGAATTTACAGTTTAATTTCCAGATTAACACGTTGTGGGAACACGCGGGGAGACTATGGGAGAACAAATGGGGAGTATAAGGAGGATAATTTTTCATTTATTCTTATCTATCATTACATGTATTGCTTAGCTTACTATACTATAAACTCATCAATTAATACTTAATCAAATTACGTCTTGACTGCTAATTTATGTATAATTATGTATATCTAACCAATTTGTGTACCGTACATTACTAAATACTTTTAGACAGTTTGGAGCGTCTGAGGATCTTCTGTACCTCTTGCGTATATCATTTCTGTGATTATATTGCCACGCGTATACTATTTACAGCCATACAAGGCTTTCCTATCGGACTAATAGTTCAAGCACTTGAAGGGCCTCTCAGTTGCTCTTGTGTTGTAAAACTTGAATGATTCTTGCTTTTGAACCAGTACGCTCACACGGGTGGCATGCCACTTCGGGCGTTCGAGTTCACGACGAGCACACACACGTACACAATGCGTCGCTTGAACTGCAGCAGCAGAGGCCTCTCTTATCCCCTCCCGTCACACCCAGCACAGGACTATTGTTCTAGAGAACGATGACAAGAACACATACAATGAACACATATGAAAAATATATCGGAAATGTGTGAAAAACAAAAAGAAATATGCACGGGAACATTGCAGTGAAGCGGTGTGTTTAACATCTTTTGGAATCTTGTGATTGTGCAAAACTAAATAGTGGGGAAACAAGTTCGTGCCATTAAGTTTCACCATGTTTAAATTTGTAGGATCTATTCACCTTCTCAAAATCACTTGCTTGTTAGTATCTACATTCTTAATTCAAGACAGTATAATAAAAGGAATAAAATAATGTATATTAATGTTAATATACAGTAAGAAACCGTATTTTGTGGAACCTTGATACCGATTTAGTTATTAATTATTAAATCAAACTGTTTCCTTACAAAGAAAGTTCGGTATTTCTTTCCATAGAGCATTCGTGCTCAACAGACATGCACAGCTTTACACTGCTTTACACGTAAACATTACGAGTAAACATGTTACTCGTAAATTGTTTTACCTATATACATGCATTTAGACAGAACTGGCAAAATCAATATTTTCAAAATTTGTCACGATGAGAAGTATTTGTATTTTAACTTTGGAGTCGCGTCCTTTTACGTCATTCTCCGATATTATTTATTGTATTATATTGTTGCTTGATGTATTAAATTTATGGTAAAATGTTTTTAATATACTTTTTTAAAGAAAAAAGCGACAAAACAAATATTTTTCCAAAATTCTCAGGCAATTTTAAATTTTTGAACTTTACCTCCGTATTGTTTCGCGTGTATCTCCGAAACTATTTGTCGAATTCGAATCTGGTTTGCCCCGATAAATTTCTCGTAAAATTCTCTCTCTCTCTCTCTCTCTCTCTCTCTCTCTCTATATATATATATATATATATATATATATATATATATATATGTGTGTGATATCAGACAAAAGCGAAATTAATATTTTCCCAAATTTGTCACCCAATTTCCAAACTTTGGCACCATTTTGTTTCGCATCTATATTCGAAAAAATTAGCCGCATTCAAGCCTTGTTTGCAGCATTCAATTTCTCGCAGTGTTCTACCTGTTAATGCAATTTCACGTAAAAGCGATAAAATTAATTTTTTCCGAATTTTCCAGCCAAAATCCCAACTTTGGCACCATTTTTTTCGCGTCTATCCCCGAAACTAATAGCCTGAAAGAAGTCTTGTTTGCAATATCTATTTATCGTAAAGTGTTCAACCTGTGTATATAGTTTCAGATAAATCCGATAAAAAATCAATTTTTCCGAATTTTCCACCCAATTTCACAATTTTGGCGCCATATTGTTTCTCGTCGACACTAATTACAGGCTCGACGTTCAATTTGGGTCATTCAATTTCTCCTAATATTCTACCAGTGTACGTAATTTCTGATAAAAGGAATAAAATAATTTTTTTCCGAATTTTCCAGCCAATTTCCCAATTTCGCCGCCATATGGTTACGCGTCTATCTTCGGAAAT